GAATAGAAATTCCATTTGACCCAGCAATCCCATTACTGGGTATATATCCAAAGGATTACAAATCGTTCTACTATAAGGACACATGCACACGAATGTTCATTGCAGTACTGTTTACAATAGCAAAGACCTTTAACCAACCCAAATGCCCATCGACAATAGACTGGATAGGGAAAATGTGGCACATATACACCATGGAATATTATGCAGCCATCAAAAATGATGAGTTTGGGTCCTTTGTAGGGACATGGATGAACCTGGAAACCATTATTCTCAGCAAACTGACAGAAGAGCAGAAGATCAAACACCGCATGTTCTCACTCATAGGTGGGTGTTGAACAATGAGAACACATGGACATGGGGGGGGAGCACTACACACTGGGGTCAGTTGTGGGGAAGTGGGGGAGGGACAGTGGGGGGTGGGGAGCTGGGGAGAGATAGCAAGGGGAGAAATGCCAGATGTAGGTGATGGGGAGGAAGGCAGCAAATCACACTGCCACGTGTGTTCCTATGCAACAATTTTGCATATTCTTCACATGTACCCCAAAACCTAAAATGCAATAAAATAAATAAATGGGAAAAAAAACTTATGTTTGATTGCTGAATAGTATTCCTTTGTATACCCCACATTTTAATTCCTTCGTCAGTTGATGAGCATTTAGCTTGTCTCCATTTTTGGTTCTTATGAATGGTGGTGTTGTGAACATTCACCTACAAGTCTTTGTGTGAACATACATTTTCATTTTCCCTGGTTAGATACCTAGAAGTAAAGTTGCTGACTTTAAGGAAATTTTACTTTATTATTATTTTTTATCTTGAGCCCCTTGCAGTTCTGCTAGAGAAAGCAATTTCATTTTTAACATTTTGAGAAAGTGTCATACTGTCTTCCAAAAAAGTGGCAGTACCAGTTTACATTCCCACTGGCAGTGTATGAGGTTTCATTCTCCACATCCTTTCCATCACTTGGTATTAAATGTCTGGTTGTAGTTATTCTAGCGGGTGTAAAGCAACATCTCATTAATCTGCATTTTCCTAGTGACTAATGATGTTGAACACTTTTTAATGTGCTTATTGGACATTAATATATTATCTTTGGAGAAATGTTTATTCATGTTCTTTTCCCGTTTTTAAGTTGGATTGTCTTTTAATGTTGAGTTGTAAGAGTTCTTCTGAATATATCAGTTATTAGACATATGATTTATAAATATTTTCTCCCATTCTGTGGGCTGTCTTCCTCTTTCTTGACTGTATCTTTTGATGTGCCAAAATTTTAAATTCAGCTGATGTTCAATTTGCCATTTTTTACTTTCTTGCTTTTTCCCATTCCTACTTTTCCAGGTCTCATTAGGTAGCCTTGGCTGGTCTTGAACTGTGCTTTTGATGTTGTATCTAAGACATCAGTGCCTTACACAAGATCACAAGAATTTACTCGTACATTTTCTTCTAAGAGTTTTGTTGTTTTTGTTTTTATTTTATTTTATTTTACTTATTTCTTTTTTTTTTGTTGCAGACATCAGTAGTTTATCGCTTAGTCCAAACACATTCAAAATGGAAACTCAAATAATACTTTCCACCTGAAACAATTAAACTAGATTCTACTAGCATATAATGCTTAACACATTACAGATATAAAGATGGTAATCCATTGTCTTCTATACCTACTAAAGCCAAGATGGTAAAGCCAATTTTGTTGAAATAGTGTCATAAGGATAGAATATTACCATCAAAAACTAAAACAAAATCAGTAAATAACAGTAATGGTAGATGGATATTTTTACTCTGATTCACTGAAAAGAGGACAAAATGTTAAAAGTCCACCGTACTGCAGGTGAACAATCACCATGTAAACTTCTCCATATGATGTTTTAATGTTTTATTCATGGTATGTAAAGAATGAAGCTGAATGGCTCTTTGCTCTACTTTTCTATTACACTTAACATTTTTCATTACTTTTGGTGCCAGAACAGTTTTCATGGATGGCAGGGCAATATCCTGAATTGGAAATTTTATATATGTGTATATATATAAAAATGGGAAATATAAATAGAAGAATAGAGGAAAATATGCTTGGGGGGAAAAACATTGACAATAAAATAGCTGCTTCTTTGAAAGTAGTATTAATAAAGGCTTCAAAACTCCAAAGTAATTTTCTGGTAAGAATTTCAAGTACTATACATCAGAAAGTATAAAACTATTTCAAACAAACAAACAAAAAAGAATCCTTAAGCCCCCAAAATGGAAACGATGAAAATCTGCATCCCCAAAATATATCCAGTAGTGCAAGACTTTTCCTCAAACATGGAAGACCTCATTCAAAGGGGAAAAAAAGGACAGATTTTACTCATATTACCCAGTACATAAAAAACAAAATACATCCATCATTTGCTAGTTTACTAAATAGCAAACAGTTGCATAATTCAGAACCAATTTGCTACTATGTCAAGTGCACATCTTGTTTGTTTTACAAAGATAGAATGGAGAAGTCTTCCATGCTAATGAGAAGCTTTAAGTGGTCACACTTATTTACCTCACTTCCTGCCTGAAACATCAGAAACTGGTATTTACTGATTGCTCCAAGCATAAAATTGGATAAGCTTTGCCATACTTGTGGTTTACTGGAACTTGCTATAAAGACAGACAATAATCCAGCAGCTACAAACTTTGCTCACAGAATTGTTTAAAGATTCATGTAAAAATAAAAGATGTCGTCCCAGACTTAAATTCAGGAGCCACTCGGGTGCTGACATCAGTTCAAGAATTGTGCAAAATGAATGACAGTTCCCTGCCCCCCAATAGAAAATGCAAGCACTTAAGAGCTGCTGTTCTTTTCTCTGAAAATTGCAGTATCCTCACTTCAGGCTTACTTGCCATTTATGGTATCTGACTGCTTTTAAAATGTCACTAAAAATGTACATCGAGCTGACTGACTTTTCCAAGCGCTGAAGTGATACGTTTCAACGCTGAAGTGATACGTTTCACGTCCACATTCTAGCCAAGAGAAAAGTTAACTAGACACTTACTCGAATAACTGACTTCCTCCTTCCCTCTCCCCACAAACACACAGGACTCCCTCCCTCCCACAGAGAACACAAAGTTGTTAACTGAAGAACAAGATAAATAATATGCTAGTCCATTTTACTGATTTTAAAGATACTGCAATTTTTATACATTTTGATGATTTTTCAACATTTTGCAGCTGTGTGGCTTTGCAGCACAGCAATTCATACACTACACTGTACAAAATTACCAGCAAGACTGGAATGATGTATTAATAGAAGGCACCATCATGCTTATTACATTACCAGAGAACAAAAATACGTAAAGACAATTATCACTGTACACAGCTTAAAGAAAGGAAAAAGGGGAGGAGGTGGAGTGTGTTGAGCAGCCAGCCATCCCTGTACTGAAGAGGGACAGGTAGAAAAATCTTAGATATGGAGCTACTAAATCTGGCCTAATAGTCAAGACCATCGCATGTGAAGTTCTAATTTTTGTTATTTAGTTCATAACGAAAATGATTTCCTTCTGGGATATACTTGTAGTCTTGTTAAGGTTTATGTGTACACATGCTGGTCACAACAAGCAGATAAAATGCCCTCATCATTTCACAAACTATTCTCTACTGGAAAAGAAGATGAAAGATTTTTTTCCCTGTGGCCACCTGTTGCAGATGTCACTGTTAATGAGTTCAGAGTACCCATTAGTGCATTTTGATGAGTGCATAGCAAGTTTCTGTTGGTTTGTGTTTTTGGGGGGATCCAAGAAAAAAGGCAAGATTCTCCAATTGCACAAACTGTACTATTTGTATTCCTAACATTAGCAGGCAGAAACAGTAACACTTAAAGAAAATGTGCAGCAGAAGATTTTTTTTGACTCAAAGGACCTGAATTCAGTGGGCATGTCCTTTTAAGTTCGCTTTGTCATAGATAGTTTAAAATATGGTCAGTTCTCAGTCCTTAATTCTCCAAGTCTAGATTTATAAATTAACAATGTGAATCCTGTTGTGAAACGGGAAATAATGTCCACCTCAATTTAACTGATAACCAAAAGATGCTTTTCACATCAAAGAAATGATCAAAAAGGCTGTGTCAAATTCCAAAGACAAAAAATCAAATTAACAAGACTGCAAACACGATGAATATTGTACCACTGTCAAGACTCTGCCAACAGTGGAGCTACAGCGACGCTGTCCTGTGACGCCGCCTTCTCTTTGCCCGGTTCCTCTTCCAGAGCCAAGTTTCTGTGCCATGCCACCCCTTGGAGGAGGTCCTCTTCCATCACGATCACGCATCATTCCACCACCCACAATTCCACGTGGACCACTAGGACCTCAATTATTGCACTTAATATCCCCGCGATCACCACCACCACCTATGGTTTCTCGCTCTCTTGCAGCTCTTGTTTTTTTTCTCTTCCACATTTAAACTTGTCCTTGAAACATAATCGGTTTCACAATTAAGATCCTCTGAACTGGTTCAGAGTCATCAAAAACCACAAAGCCAAAATTTGGAAGCTTTCCCCCAACACCCTTGGTATTGATGCGAAGTTCCACAACGTTTCCAAAACTCATGAAGAATTCTTTCAGTTCATTTTCATCAATATCATGTGGCAAGTTACCAACAAAAAGTTGATGACTATCTGGACAGCGAATTATTCTATGGTTGTCAGAGTCATTCTGTTCCATATCTCCTCTGCCTGGTCTTGGTCCTCCAGGAGGGAAACCAGTTCGCTCTCTAGGTCGCTGTTCACGCACACGAGGTGGCTGAGATTGAACTTCTGGTTTAGTTTCAACTCTTGGCTGTGAGACTGGTGCTTTAACATGGGGTGCAATTCCAGAGGAAGAAAGAGTACCACTAGGAGGCAGGTTTTTACTGGTCACTGAAGCCCAGGAGAAAGCCTTTGGTGGTTCTTGTGGCAGAGAAACAGGTTCTGCTGGAGGAGGAGTAGCAGACTTCTCCTCCAATTCTTCTAAGTTCTTCTCCTCCACTTGTGGTTTCAGCCCTTCAGTCTTTGTTTCAGATTCTGGCTCAGGTTCAGGTTCATGAGAGGATTCTTCCAAAGGCTCCTCTATGCCATTAGTCACAGGGTGAACTTCGTAGTAACCACTGTTTGCATTTTCTTGCATAGGTTCAGGAGATGGTTGTCTTTCTTCTTGTTCCTCTTCTACTTCATCTTCTGATTCTTCATCAAGTTCAGGCTCAGAATCACCAAACACTTTATCTTCATAACGAAACATATCATTGTGAACATAGAATTTATTTGGAACAGATCCTTCAGGAGCCAGAACAAAGGTTTGCATAAACTTCCTTTCTGGTTGTCCACTGTTAGACAGCAAACCCATGACCTGGACAACTACTCCATTACTCAAGGTTGCATGAGCATCCACATGACGAATTTTAGTATGACATTCACTGAAGTTCAGAGATAATACTTTGTGGTGTATATCATTTTGGCCATAAACAGCCTCTTGGGGCTTTCCAGTAACATCTACTCCACTATGAACATAGAAAGAATTCCTGCCATAAAATCTGTGTAAATATTCTGAAGACTTATTCAGCAAAGTATAATATTGCCTCACAAACTCCCACCCTACCAGCAGCGGTCTGGGCTTCTCCATAACCATTTCTTTGCTGCACAATGTCAAATGCTCCAGCCAACAGCGGCGGCGGGTACGTCGCGAGGAGGTCCGCAGGAGAGTTGCTGAGAACCGGGGTGCAGTGGATTCTTCTTGCTCACCGCCCCCTTCCTCCAACAACTCGGAAGCCGGAGAGCTGCGAGTTCGTTTTTCCTTTCAACCACCTCTTTCTGGGCGCCAGACTCTGCGGCGAGTGACAAGGACCACAGACGTCTGTTTTTGTTTTTAACATTTAGGTCTGTGATCCATTTTCAGTTAATTTTTGTTTATGGTGTTAGGCAGGGACACAAATTAATTTATTTGTACGTGAATATCCAATTGCCTCACCACCATTTGTTGAAAAGTCTATTCATGGTTGGACACAGTGGTTCATGCTTGTAATCCCAGCACTTTGGGAGGCCAAGGCTGGAGTACTGCTTGAGTCCAGGAGTTTAAGACTAACATCTGCCTCATTCTCCCCATAATTTCTCCAACATCTGCCTCATTCTTTCCCCACACCCAGCCCTGGGTAACCACCATTCTACTCTCTGCTTCTATGAGTTTAACGTTTTTTCTTTTTTCCTTTTCCTTTTTTTTAACACATCATTTCCTAAGCAGAGTTCAACTTTTTAAGGACAAAGATAGACATTATCAACCACTGGAACAAAATAGAGAGCCCGGAAATAAATCCATGGATTTACAATGAACGAATCTTCCACAAACCTGTCAAGGACACGCAATAGAAAGATGCTCTATTCACAAAATACTGTTGGGAAAACCTAATATCCACATGCAAAAGAATGAAATTGAACCTCTATCTCACCCCATATATAAAAATCAACTTGAAATTGGTTAAATGCTTAAATGTAAGAGCTGAAAAGCTTCTTGACATTGGTCTAGCAAAGATTTTATGGATATGACCCCAAAAGCACAGGGAACAGAAGCAAACATAGACAAATGGGCTTTCATCAAACTAAAAGCTTAAATGCAGCACAGGAAACAATCAATAGAATAAAGAAACAATCTGCAGAATGGGAGAAAATATTTGGGGATCATTCATCTGACAGGGAGTTAATATCCAAAATATTCAATGAACTCAAACAACTAGATAACAAGAACACAAGTAACCTAATTTTCAAAGGACTTGAGTACTTCTCAGTAAAAAAAAAAAAAAAAAAAAAAAAAAAAAAGACATAAGACATATGAATGGCTGAAAATACACAAAAAAATGCTTGACATTAGTAATCATCAGGAAAATACAAATTGAAATGACAATGAGATATCACCCCACACCTGTTAGGATGTCTATTATCAAAAAGATAGGGTATCAATTGACTTTAAGTGTAATGGTTTCTTTCCAAAATTTCAATTAGTTTTCAATTAATCAATTTTTTTTTGAGACAGGGTCTTATTGTGTTGCATGGTGCAATCATATCTTACTGCAACCTCAAACTCCTGAGCTCAAACCATCCTCCTGCCTCAGTCTCTTAAGAAGCTGAGAAGAAAAGTGTGTGCCACCATGCCTGACTAATTTTTTTTTTTTTTGAGACAAAGTCTCCCTCTGTTGTCCAGGCTGAAGTGCAGTGGTATGATATTTTCTCTCTCTTGCCAAGTTTGGAATGCAGTAGCCAATCATAGCTCACTGCAGCCTCAAATTCCTAGGCTAAGGAGATCCTGTCACCTCAGCTTCCTGACTAGTTTGGATTGCAGGCCTTTACCATCATGACTGGCTAATTAAAAAAAAGAGAAACTTATTTTTATTTATCTTTATTTTTGTAGACAAATCCCACTGTCTATGTTGCCCAGGCTGGTCTCGAACTCCTGGTCTCAAGGGATTTCCCGCCCCCCAACCTCAGTCTCAAAAAGTGCTGCAATTGCAGGCATGAGTGCCCAGCCTGAGCTTTCAATTACATTCCAGTGATCCAGTGACTTATACATCTGCCTTTAAGCCAGTACAATACTCTCTTGATTACTTTATAGCAAGTTTTGAAATTAGGAAGATAAGTCCTCCAACTTTGTTCTTCTTTTTCAGGATCATTCTGCCTATTCTGTGTCTTTGCATTTCCACATGAATTTTAGAAACAGCTTGTCAATTTCTGTAGACAAGGTAGCTGGGATTCTGATAGGAATCAGGTTGAACATGTAAACTAATTTGAGGAGTACTGACAACAATACTTAGTCTTCTGATCCATGAACATGGACTATCTTTCACTTATTTTGTTCTTCTTTAGTATCTTTCCACAGTGAACATTTTATTCTTTGAGATGCTACTGCAAATGGAATAATTTTATTAATTTCATTTTTGGATTGTTCATTGCTAGTGTACAGAAATACAATTGATTTATATATGCTGATTTTGTGAACTTGGTGAACTAGTTTAGTTTTTTTTTTTTCTTTTTGTTAATTGTACTTTATGTTCTGGGGTTGATGATATCCCTCCCCTAGCCCCCCATCCCCTGAAAGCACCCAGTCTGTGATGTTCCCCTCCCTGTGTCCATGTGTTCTCATTGTTTAACTCCCACTTATGAGTGAAAATATGCAGTTTCGTTTTCTGTTCTTCTGTTAGTTTGCTGAGGATGATGGTTTCCAGCTTCATCCAAGTCCCTGCAAATGACATAAATTCATACATTTTTATGGCTGCATAGTATTCCATGCTGTATATATGCCACATTTTCCTTATCCAGTCTATCATTGATGGGCATTTGGGTTAGTTCCAAGTCTTTGTTATTATGAACACTTTTTTTTTTTTTTAATGTGGATGCCTTAGAATTTTCTGTATACAAGATCATGACCTTTGGAAGTAAGACAGTTTTACTTCTTCCTTTCTAACCTGGATCCTTTTATATATCGATCACCTAGTTGTCCTGACCAGAACCAAAGGTGAATAGGCCTGCTCAAAATGGCCATCCTTGTCCTGTTCCCAATCTTAGGGAAAAGCATTTTGTCTTGCACCATCAAATCTGTTAACTGTTAGATTTTCACAGATGCTTTTTTATCACGCTGATGAAGTTCCTTCCTGTTTCTAGTTTGTGGAGGATTTTTTCCCATGCATGGGTAGAAAATTTTACTCTCATTTTCAGAAAAGAAAACAATCATTCAGGCAGTTAGCCTCCAAAGATCAAGCCCTGAATCACAATGTTCTCCAACAGCACATTCATTTATTTAAGTTTTCCTCTGCCCCTCCTCTGAATTCTCTTTCAGCTCACTTGGGAATGTTGGTGTTCTCCAGGAGTCTCAGCCCTTTGCTCGGGTGCTTCTCTCCTGAAGTGGGAGGATGGCTTCAGCCATCATCTGCAAGCTGATGACTCCACACTCCCTATCTTCTTTCCCTCACTGAGCTCTGGTGTATCTTGATACTTCCAAGAATTTTCTACTCAGATATGTCAAGAAATCTCAAGCTTATCCTATCCTAGAATACCCTGTTAACTCCCTCCACTAAAGTAGGCTCCTGTGACTCTATTTTCAATATTGGATGATTCTGCTATTTGTCTTGTTCCAGCCTGAAACCTGGTCATAATCCCACGTTTCCCTCTCTATGGCCCCTCCTCTCACCTTTTCGAATTACTGGCCAAGTTCTACCTATGTTTTTCTTCACCTGTACCATTACTGCCTTCCTCCTTCCTCCAGTCTCATTCTATTCAAATTCACCCTCCAGGTTACCAACGGTGATTTCCCTGAATTACAGATTCTCTGATACTTAGCCCTTCACTGGTTCCTTACCTCCAGCATGGAAACCAAGGCCTTTTCTCATCAGTTCCATTTCATACACTAGGAGCTTCCACCAAAGACTGAGGTCACCAAATTCACTTTCTGATGTCAGGTTTTTTTTTTTAACTTTCATAGTTATACATTTTTATTTTATAAATTTTATACCATTAACATGTATTACTTCCTTAATCAGATGAAAAAAATTCAGTCCCCTATGACCATACATAATACACTAGTGTAAACACAAATAAAAATGAAAATGCAAAAATGTCAAACATATTTACATTATAAAAAAAAAAAAGGAATCCACTCACAAACAGCAAAAACGTTACAAAATATTTGATTCATTCTGCCTTACTTCCCCACCCTCCCCATCACCAGGCAGAATTTTGCTCCTGTTGCCCAGGCTGGAATGCAATCTGCTCACTGCAACCTCTGCCTCCCGGATTCAGGCAATTCCCCTGCCTCAGCCTCCTCAGTAGCTGGAATTACAGGCATGCGCCACCATGCCCTTTAAGAGCTGCATGCTATTTTCATCATTTGGAGACATTAGAAATTACGTCACTAGTTCTACTCTACTGTCTTTTACATGCCATGTTGTCTCATGCCTCAGTGCTTCTTGTTTATTCTTCTGTTGTCTTCTTTAAAATATTAGGTTTACTTAACTAGAAACTGTTCTTGCTGTGTTGCTCAGTCTGGTCATGAATTCCTGGGCTCAAGTGATGGTCCTGCCTCAGCCTCTCAAAGTGTTGGGATTACAGGTGTGAGCCCCTCATGCCCAGTCCTGTTTTCTTGTTTTGAGAGGTTCTTCCTCTTTCCACATCATCTCCTCTATTCCTTTATATCTTGAAAATCCCTACTCTCTAGGCCCTTTTCTTTGAACCTCTTCCTAACTCTTGCAGAGTTAATTATGCCCTTCTCTGTGTTACTTCAGAACATTACATATGTTTATAATGTTGCCTGTGTTGTCCTATAAGTATTTGTCACTTTTTATTCTCAATCCGAGTTCAGTATTTATAATAAATTTATCTTAAACGCTCTAATTGCCAGCATATAGGAAGTGCTTAGGAAATATTTGTTGTAATCAACTGAATTGGGATTTATCAGTAAGCCTCTTTGCTTTGAATAGATCATTTTCTAATTGTCAGCTTAAATACATTTTTAAGATTACACACCATCCCTAAGCCAAATTGCTTCTTATGCAGAAAAAAAAGCCACTACTATGACTGCCTAAGCTTCCTCCTGTATGGCCACCCTAGAAGACATGCAGCAAGAATACTAGAGAACTGACCCCTTCCATCTGCCCTCACTTACCTTCCTTAGGTATTTGTATGGGGCTGTCACTGACTTTACATGCTGCTGCAGCTCCTTGATCAGGTGGTCCTTGATATGGGACAGAAACTGTAGGGTCAGGACAATAAATGCCTTCATCACCTGCAGAGTGAGAGCAGAGGATCACGATGAGTGTCAACCTACTACATAGC